CAAAATGTGTTCAGCACACGTGTTTTGTACCACTCTCCATGGAGTACAAGAACTTCGCAACCACGCACGGCCCTTTCTTTTCTTCTAGCCCTTGTGTTATCGTTATCACACGTTTTACTTTTACGTGACGTTTATATTTTTGTTTAAGGCAGTCAGTTATCTTTCAGAGAGGTCTGAATAATAAGAAAAAGGTCCTGTATGTTTATCCATGTAGTTATCATTCCAGTGTTCATCATTGCTTTGCATAGATCCGTATTTTCACCTGGCATTATTTTTCCCTCTGCCTGAAGAGCTGCTTTTATCATTTCTTGTAGCGTGGGTCTACTGGTGATGAATTCTTTTGGTTTTTGTACGTCTTAAGTATCTTTATTTCACCTTTATTTTTGAAAAGATTATTTTTGTTGGGTATAGGATTTTAGGTTGAAAGTTTGTTGTTGTTTTTTTTTCCCCAGAACTTTAAAGATGTTGCATCATTGTCGTCTTGCTTGCATTAGTTTCCAGTGAGAAATCGTCTATCATCCATATCTTCATTCCCCCTGTAGGTACAAAAAAATTTTTTTTCCTTTGGCTGCTTTTAAGATTTTCTCTTTATTACAAGTTTTGAGCAATTTGATTATAATGTGCCTTGGTGTAGATTTCATTATGTTTCTTGTGTTTGAGTTTCACTAAGCTCATTGGATCTGCACGGTTATAATTTTTGTCACATTTTGAAGAGTTTTGTTCATTGTTTCTTCAAATTTTTTTTTCTCCGTCCTTCTCTCTTCTCCTTCAGGGACTCCAGTTATAAATATATTAGGCTGCTGAAAGTTGTCTACAGCTTACAGATACTCTGTTCATTTATTCTTCTATTTGCTCTCTGTGTCATGACTAATGATGTATCAACTTTGCTAGGCCGAACTGCATTTCCCAGAATATGCGTCTTTGTATGTTTCCAGTTTGGGCAAGATGTGAGGGCTATGCTTAAGAGATTTGGGAGGTAGAAGGAAAGAATCACTTTTGTAGCTGATTCACCTCCATGACATAAAGCAATATCTGGGTCTGCAGTTACCCTGCCTTTCCCCGACTTTCCTTCAGGTTCTCTTACTCACAGCCAGGTGTGTGCTTTTAGCTCCATGAATGAGAACCCCAGCTTCTGTAGGATACCCTTGCACCAAGCTCAGAGACAGCAAGAAAGGACATGGGTTTCAGTCCATCCTCATGGGTTTCCAGCTCATGCTTGTCTGGTTCCAGCTCACTTGGATCTTCTCGTCCTGACTTTCCTTTACTGATGTCCTTCCCTATGGACTGTGCATCAATTAGATGCGGAGATACACCTACAGCCTTACAAAAGCAGCTTAACCAGCCCTTAAGATTGCTTGCGCCAATTCCCTGGAACAAATTCCTTTCTGTATATTTGTGTGCATTCCACCAGAGAAACGACCAGTAAGAGATGTATAGAAGCGCCATCCCCAGCCCTGCGCGAGTGCAGTGTACTGTTCTCCCTAATCCTTTTGGGTGGTTTTTTCCCAGGATTCACATAGTTTCCTTACACACTCGTGTGCCGATCAGTAGTTTTCTGAATACCGGAGGGGGACCCAAGAACTTTTTAGTTTCCTCTCTCTTTGTGAAGCTCTTTCCTCCCCAGTATTCTGCCTGTGAATTCTAGCAGCCTTGGTGTCCTTGGGCTCTTAACTTTTTCTACTTAATTTAAGGAGTCTGCGGGGCTCTGCCTGTTGCCTTTGAAACTCTTCCCAGGCAGTTAGGTGGGGCGATTGCAGGGCTCACCTCATTTGTTTCCCATTTCCCAGGGATCACTATCCTTTGTTTCCTGTGAAGTGTCTGGGAAAACTGTGGTTTTTTACATTTTGTCCTGTGTTTTGGTTGTTTCAGGTGGGAGAGTAAATTCAGTGAACTAACTCACCTTAGTTGAAAGGAAAAGTCTAGTACGTATGTTTTGAGTGAATGAATAAGCTCCTCCTTGGCATCTGTCATGAGGTTAGACATTTAGCTATGAATGCGTCTGACACTCAGGAAAGGAAAATCAGCTTCTGTAGACGATGCTCCTTTTACGCACCAGCGGTGTGAATGTGTGTGTGTGTGCGCGTGTGTGTTTCTTTATTTACTGGTGGTATAAATTTCTAAAAACCTGCACTTCAGAAGACTTTCAGGGATGTGCCATTTGATCGCAGGGAAACTTTGGGTTGTTTTATGGCAGGGAAATGAACCAGCTTATAAATCATGTAATTGAATTTCTGTTATGTCAGTTTGCCCATTTCCCACTTTTGTAATTGAGAGCTTGCAGATTTTCTTAGTATTTCCAAGTACTGTGTCAGGAGTTAAATGTACTGTGAATACATGGTAAATATGAGTTGACCCACTTTATAGCTGCAAAGAGGAAGCACATTCTGAACTGAGGCATATGCTGAGGGAGCAAAGGGAGTTGCTGTTATTTTGTATATTTCACTGTGGGCCAGGAAGTGTGCTAAGCACATGGTATTATTTATTTACTCTTCATAATAATTTTATGAAGTGGCTTTTATTATCCCATTTTACAGATGAGGAAAATGA